AATACTGAGTGAAAATAATTGGGCTTCCCATCACTTGATATGGTGAAATGGAGGTTTGAAAACCATCTGTCTTGGATGCTAAAACTTGGATACTTGCACTGAACAGAGGACTTGATGGTCTAGATCAGGGGTAGGCAACCTTGGCTCTTTTATGACTCGTGGACTTCAACTCCCAGAATTCCTGGCTCAGGAATTCTGGGAGTTGAAGTCCACGAGTCATAAAAGAACCAAGGTTGCCTACCCCTGGTCTACATAGTTTATTCTAATTCCATGAGTCTAGTTATTATATTGTTATTTTTTCTTATAATTATGATAATTATTCTTTCAATTGCATGGCTATCATTTCCTGAACAATTGGCCTCACAGTGATTCAAGTGAACGGATGTAGAAGGTTTGAGAAGTTCTGCCTTAGAACACACCCAACTCAGTTCTGCAGTGTTGGCACATATGGTAGCAGTAAAAGTTAGCTGTGGCAATGGACTAGTGCGCTTCAATATCTTCATAAATGATCAAGAGGAGGGGATAGAAGTAGAGCTCATCAAATTTGCAGATGACGCCAAGTTTGGGGAAATTGCTAACACTTTGGAGAATAAGCTCAAGATTCAGAAGGATCTTGACAGATGAACATTGGGCCCTAGCTAATAAGATGCAGTGGTGAGAAAAATAAGGCCCTACATCTAGGCAGGAAAAATCAAGTGCACAGGTATAGAATAGGCATATTGGCTTAACATTAGTATGAGAGGAATTTAGTACCCTAGTGGATCTGCACTTAAGTATGATTCAGCAGAATGCTGCATCTGCTAAAAAAAAAAAAAAAGCCTGCTAGACTGCATTAACACAGGAGTAGCATCAAGATCTTGAGAAATAATAGTACTACTTTATACTGTACTAGTGAGGCCACACTTGGAATTCTGAGTCCAATTGTGGTCACCATGATATAAAAAAGATGCTGAGAACCTAGAAAGAGTGCAGAGAAGAGCAATTAAGACGATAAGGGATCTGCAGGATAAATTGTACAAGGAATGTTTAAGGAACCAGGTAAGTCTAAGCCTAACAAAGAGAAGAATTGGGGGTAACATCGTCTTCCAGTACATAACGGGCTGCCAGGGAGAGATTAAACATATTCTCCCAAGTTCCTGAGGGTAGGACAAGAAGCAATGGATGGACGCTTGTTAAACAGAGATCCAACTTGAAAACTAAGGAGAAAGTTACTGAAATAGAGAACAATTAACCAATGGAACAGCTTGCCTCCCAAAGTTGAGGGTGCGCCATCGCTGGAGGTTTTCAGGAAAAGATTGGAGAACCATTTGTCCAGGATGATATAAGTTGTCCTGCCATGGACAGAAGGTCAGACTAGAAGACTCCATAGTCCCATCCAGCCCTATGATTCTGCTGCTAGGCTGCTAGTTTTAGGATGCTACTTTTGGAAAGTAAATCCATCAGTTATCTATCCTGACTTGTTTGCGTTTTCTAATCCAAATACTTGTGCCATGCCAGAAATAGGTATGTGTGTGTGTGGGGGGGGGGAAAGTGTAGACTCTATCAAGTCAAGCTCAACTACTAGAGCAGTGGTTCTCAACCTTTTTAATGCCACGACCCCCAACCGGTCGTAAGTCGAGGACTACTCAACTGGTCGTAAGTTGAGGACTACTCAACTGATGCAGCACCGTTTGCAGAATGGGACTTTTGATGGGCTCGGCAGGGCAGAGACAGCCTGGACAATTCCTATTGGTTTTTGAAAGCCAATAGAATTAGACTCTATTCAAGAGAGTCTATTCTATTGGCTTTCAAAAGCCAACAGAATAAAAGGGAGTAGCATAGCTAAGGAAAAGGGGAAAAAAATGGTGGACTGCGTTGTTTGGCGACCCCCGTGAAATGGTCATTCGACCCCAAATGGGGTCCCGACCCACAGGTTGAGAACCACTGTACTAGAGACTGTGCACTTCTTACTGAATAATAGGGGAGTGGTTTATTGAAATGTAACCATTTCCAACCTTGCTTAAGTGTATTTAAGATGAAAAGCCAGTGATATTACCTCAGTTCATCCGAAACCTAAACAAAGCCAGAAATAGAAAGTGACAACTTAAATCATAAAGAAACAAAAGTCCTCACTTGTTATTGATATTACTGTGATGAATAAAATATAGGTTAAAGATAAAAAATATGTATTTAAGAATTGGGTTTGGCTCTGCAAGGCTACTATGAAATAGGCTTATTAAAAATAGTAAATGTATTGTGTACATTTCTGTTCTATTGTATATATTTGCTTTCTCCTGTTTATGTGTTTAAAATATTAAATTTACCACTATATAGTAGAAAGATATTGCTATACAATATTTTTCTGAAGAATCATTCTAGTAAACAATGATTAATAAATTTTGATGAAAACTCTGCTCACTATGCATTGGGCAATATATTATTGCAATAAAATATCACCTTACAGAGTTGAAGGAGTTTTAGATCTTTGTGTAGATTCTTTATCATATTTGAGATATTCTTTATATTTTTATTATATGATTTATCATATGTTTATCATATCAAATATGATGAAGAATCTACACAAAGATCTAAAACTTCATTTGCAATGAAAATGAATTCAGGTTTTTCTTTCTTACTTTCATCGAAGGGTAAACAGGATCATCACAGGATCATAACATTGTAAAAAATTGTCTGAACATGTTCTGAAAGACTGTAGCAGAATGTACAACAATTAGGGAGAAATTTACAACTTTATTCAGAACTGTGGGGAAATTAAAAGCAACATCAAACAAATACACAATACAGATAGCCCTTGACCACAATTGAGCCCAAATTTTTTGTTGCTAAGTGAGACATTTGTTAAGTGAATTTTGCCCCATTTTACAAGCTTTCTTGCCACAGTTTTTAAGTGAATCACCGCAACTGTTAAGTTAGTAACATGATTGTTAAGTGAATCTGGCTTCCCTATTGACTTTTCTTGTCAGAAGGTAACAAAAGATGATCACATGACCCCAGGACACTGCAACCGTCATAAGTATGAGTCAGTGGCCAAGCGTCTGAATTTTGATCACATGACCCTTGGGATACTGCAACAGACATAAGTGTGAAGCATGGTCATAACTCACTTTTTCAGTGTTGTTGTAACTTCAAAAGGTCACTAAATGAACTGTTGCAAGTTGAGGACTACCTGCATTTTATAGTACCCAGAGGTGCTAGAAATTCTGCAAATACAGTCACAATAATTCAAGGTAAAAACAATAGAATATTTGATTTGAAAGTTTAAATTCTGTTTCTTTTTCTTGCATCAATATCACAGTATACAGTGTTCCTGAAATGCAACAGCATTTTGTACCAGTATTTGTTGTTGTTGTTAATTGCGAAGTCATGTCCGACCCATCACGACCCCATGGACAATGTTCCTCCAGGTCAGGGGTAGGCAACTTTGGCTCTTTTATGACTCGTGGACTTCAATTCCCAGAATTCCTGAGCCAGCCATGCTGGCTCAGGAATTCTGGGAGTTGAAGTCCACGAGTCATAAAAGAGCCAAGGTTGCCTACCCCTGCTCCAGGTCTTCCTGTCCTCTACCATCTTCTGGAGTCCATTTAAGTTCACGCCTACTGCTTCAGTGATTCCATCCAGCCACCTCATTATCTGTCTTCCCCTTCTTCTATTGCCCTCAATCTTTCCCAGCATTAGGCCCTTCTCCAGTGAGTCCTTCCTTCTCATTAGGTGGCCAAAGTATTTGAGTTTCAACTTCAGGATCTGGCCTTCTAAAGAGCAGTCGGGGTTGATCTCTTCTAGGACTGACCGGTTTGAACACCTTGCAGTCCAAGGGACTCGCAGGAGTCTTCTCCAGAACCATAGTTCAAAGGCCTCAATTCTTTGGTGCTCAGCCTTTCTTATGGTCCAACTTTCACAGCCATACATTGCAACTGGGAAAACCATGGCATGGACTATACGCACTTTTGTTGGCAGGGTGATGTCTCTGCTTTTTAGTATGCTGTCTAGATTTGCCATAGCTTTCCTCCCCAGGAGCAAGCGTCTTTTAATTTCTTGGCTGCAGTCCCCATCTGAGGTGATCTTGGAGCCCAGGAAAATAAAATCTGTCACTACCTCCATTTCTTCCCCATCTAATGGTTAACAAAATAGAAAATCATTTGAACATTTTCAGAAAAGATCATATGAAGTAATGGAATATGAAAATGAGGAAGACAACTATAAATGTGTCTTTCTAAAAATCATTGCTTTGGAACAAATCTGAGGATGGGGTGATTTTAATTCTTTGTGAATTGTAGACACAACTTTAATGGAGAGCTGTACTGGACAAAAAGCAGAAATCACTATTTTTTTCTATATTCTATTATTTTTCATCTTATGGCATTGAGTTTAGCCTGAAACAGTTGACAGCTGGTCTCTTACAATAATATTTTTTCTTCCATCTTATGGACATTTAGAATGTTCTGACCTTATGCAAACTTTCCAGCAAAGTTGTAAGGCTTTAAAATAATTCTGGAGCCAAGTATATTTTCAGGTTAAAAAAAAAAAAAAAAATCTGTGGATGAGAAGTATAGCTAGAACAGACACATTCACTACATGCTGATTGCAGAACACAAACAATTCCAATTCTAAAGCGTCAAATACTATTTCTAGTTTACCCATCCTCCCGAGAGTGCAATAATACAGAAGTTGTCCATCCTGTTCACAGTAACCAAACCCTGTTGCAGTGATTCTCCCTTTTCTTTTAAATCAAGTAACATTAAGATTTTCTTAACTACTGAGTATCAACGAAGCAGATTTATCAAATGTGTTTCATAACTACTAGGTACCCAGCCCTGAGAATATGCCTCTAAAAAGAAATAAACTGAGAGAGGCAGACAGGTACATCATCTGAATTCTCTAGCCTTCGTTATTCAAAGCTGAAGTCGTGGCAGCGCTGGATTACCCTGAATTAGAAGATCGATAGCAAGATCTTTCATTCAATGAGAAACGGAGCCAAAAGCAGCATGAAACTTCATAGATGAAGTTATCCATGTAAGAGACTCTTCGTCACACAGTAGTAAGAAATCCCTTTATTCACATGGTCACCCAAGATGATGTAAATATCCGAAGGGGATGAAAAACGTGGGAAGGGCCGGTGGTTATTACGTTGAGGCTGGTTTCTCCGGCGTTTCGCCATTGGACCTGTGGCCCCTCCGCGCCCACGCTTTGCTTCTGGCCGGCGGCGTTCGCGTAAACTTTTTAAGGCTCTCCCCGCCTTTCCCTTTTTTTCTTTTCGTTGTGGCTTTTGCAAAGGCTGGTTGAGCCACTCCGTGCACGGATGGCTCTCAGAGAAGGGGGGATAGGACTGGTTGACATAGTAACTCCGCTCTTTTTTCCCCCCTCCCTCGGTGGCCATCCGGAGGCTCGGCGCGGAGGCGACGGCGCCGAAGCTGCCTGCCTGCACTAAGGGGCTGAGGTGGGAGGGCTGGAAGCGACCCCCGGCGAGGGAGAGACCCGTCAGGGCTCGCCCTTTGGTTTTCCCCAGGCAGAAGCGACCTTCTCCAGCCCTCTTTTAAAATGGGGACGCTGCGCCACAGGTAGCCAGAGAACAGAAGGCGAGCGCTTCGAGCCATTTTTTTTAAAATATTGCTTTTGAAGAACGCCGACCGAGCGCGCGCGAGTGCGTGTGTGTGTCTCTGTGGACACGGCGCGCGCGCCTGTTTTTTTTTTTTTTTTTGCGGGAGAGGGGTTCCCCAAGGGTGCCCCTTTTGGGGGGAGGCGAGGCTGGGAGCCTCCTGAAGAAGAGGGGATTTTTTTCGGGGCACCCCCCCCAGAGGAAACGCCATGAGTCACAACCAGCTCTACGCGCCGCGGGGGAACAACTCGCCGGTCGGCGGAGCCCCCAGGAACGACAGCCAGGACTATTTGCTGATGGATTCCGAAGCGTGTGAAGAGAACTGCCTGGCGCCTTACGCTTACTACCCCATGTGAGTGGGTTTCCCGCTAAAAGAGGCTCGCGGGGCAGATGGTGGGGCGTCGGGTGAGCCGGGTAGCTTGAGGGGGACGGTTCAGGTTCCAGGCTGGGTTGGCGCCACGTGCTTAACCTGGCTACTAAATTACCCCTGACTACTACATTACGTATTTTGCCCACGACTCCTGAAACCTCTTGCGTTCACACAGCACACTAAGCCCTTTCCGCCGCCTCCCACCAACACTGCCAACCAAGAACTAAACAAGCCTGTTGCGCGAATGCAGCGGTTAGAGGCCAAGCTGGTTGTGGGAACGCAGTCACGATCTCATTATGCGTGTTGGCAAGCCTATCCCACACCGGTAAAACGTCACGGGAAAGGAAGTGCCAGAGTTTAAGCGAGGCACACTTTCTGGAAAGGGGGGGGGGGTGGTTCATCGAAATGGGGGATGAGGTGGGGGAATCGCTGCGTGGGATACAGTATAGAACTGGATTTGCCTTTCTTTGCTCCTCAAAGTGGGTCTGGGCATCTGACAACTGTATAGTGGGCAGAAGTGGCCGGTGAAGCTCTTTTCCGAGAGGCACCTGTTGCATTTCCACCTCTTTAAAAAGTGGCTTTGTCAGCAGCTGGAGAAATTGCAGAAAACCTAGAGGCGAGAAGCGTTTGCTGCAAAGAAACATAGGGAATGCGAAAGCACATGTTTATGATTGCTAACTGAATGCATGGCAAAAACATATGAGTGATAGAAAGTAGTTGTATCTTATTCTCAGATAAGACATATCAAGTTGTGTGTGTGTGTGTGTGTTTGTGAATGTTCAAGCCTTTTAAAGAGACTTGAGGGGCCCTGGTGGGAAGCAGAATGCTCACTGGACACCCCTCCAATTTTCTTCTCCCTCCATTCCATCTTTGCATTTTTTTCTCCTGTTATTGTTTGTCCATTAAAGTCAATGATGCAGGAAATAGGAGCATATGGGAAAACCTGAGACATACTGAAATAACTCTTGAGAGTTTGGAATGATTAGTTTTACTGCTTATCGAGGCATAAAAGGCTGAAGCAAATTATGGATGGTCCTTTGGTGATAATCCCTCAGCAATAGGCCATATGTAATGAGGCGGAGATGTGGCCCTCCTTTCCATAAAAATGTTTATTTGTGATAAGAATTGGTGGTGAAGGTGGTCTTTGTTAGGTTGTGAGGCAGGACTCTGCACAGCTCTCTATGGATGTGGAGAGAGTGGAGTCATTGTAGAATAAAAAATGCCAACCTTTTGCGTTCATGGCACTAACAACACAGAATGTATATCTCTCCATGGCAAGGATGAAATGAGAGTTGGACTTGGGGTAGAAGTAGAAGACCAGCTTGAATTGCTGATTTATTTGCTAGAATTGCTGATATAACATTTTTCCTCCTATGGCCCACTGTGCTTATTCTCAGATAAGACATATCAACTAAATGCCACTGCAAATAAGAACATGAAATCCAGGCTCCAAAAGTACTGCAGTAAAGGACCAAATGATTTTGAAAGTAAATAAAGGCGCTGATTTATCCGCTTTTATTGCTATATTGATGGCAAAGCCATCCCACAATGCTGGAATTTTTTTCATTATTATACTAATGTTAGGGTGAAGTGGTTCATGTACCCATTTCTGCTCCAGTTGGCATACAGTACTTTTGGAGCCTGGATTTCATGTTCTTATCTGCGGTTTGGGTGAATCTGTTGCAAGATGCTTCATCTGTGATAAGCAGTATTTGTTTATGTATTAGTTGAACAACAAGATGTGAAGTAGAGAATTTCTGTGCCTTAACTGTAGATCAGGGACATATTAGAGGCGAATGACCTGTTGGACAAAACCAGTGTTTATATCCTTGCTGACAAAACTGCAGCAGGTTGTTGAAAGAGAATGAGTACAATGTACAAAACAAACACAAAAGAAAAGATAGTATTTGACAGGGAATGACAGCCAGGGAAGCTGCAAGTTTTGAAATATATAATGTACCAAATCTCTGAACTTTTGCATTCTGAAAACAATGCCATGATATTATATGTGCAGTAGTTTACTTCTTAATGCACATAGTTAAAATAGAAAGGAAGAGATGAAAATCTGTCTGTCTGTCTGTCTGTCTGTCTGTCTGTCTGTCTGTCTGTCTATCTATCTATCTATCTATCTATCTATCTATCTATCTATTAAATTTAAACACCATCCATCATCACCCTGTCCAATCTGGAAGATTTGGAGCAAGACCTGTGCTGAAGGATATGGCACAGGAGTTTCTTTCTGCTAGCTTAATGCTGAAAAACCATTCTAATTATGCTACTAGAAGCATGCCTACTTTCTGACTGAAGACATCATGTGACAGAAAATTTGGATCAACACTGTTCTGATTCAAACTGATTCAAATATCCTTTCCCCATCTTACAATGTCTTTCATCCAATATATCATCACAACATTTGCTGATCAGGATACAGAGATTCCCTTTTTTAGGTCAATGCTAATGGCACTATTCACTTACTCTTCCATTACTCTATTTAGAGGTCCTCATTTAGTGACCACAGAACCAGCAACTCAGTTGTTAAGCAAAGCAATCACTAAGTGAAACCACAACTCTGCTTATGATCTTATTTCAGCTTTCCTTTCCTTTACAGACTTGCAAAGAATGTAAATACAAGGATTGGTTGTAAAGTTATTTTTTCATCAAATGGTGGCTAAACAAGGCAGCCACTAAACAAGGACTGCACGTTCTTGCTATATTTCTATTTCCCAAATTATCCAAAATAAGGAAAGGAAAATGGACATGTGGAAGTGGAAGAGAGGATACTTCTTGATACACAAGAATTCTCATTGAGCTCAGTTCTGAAAAAAAAAATCTAATGGGGCAAAATGAACTTGAGTGAACAATTGGATGCAAAGTGTGTTTAATTCTAAGGGGTTGGCATCTGCCCAACCTTGTCTAAGCTCAGAAGCTAAACAGGTTTGGTTCTGGTTGTTACTACAGAGAATATAAGGACTGCAAACTACAGTGAGGACTTTAAAAAAAAAACCCTCAGAAAGTAATGATAAACTACTTCTATATTACTGCCAAGAACATTGTAAGGGCATATTTATGAAATCACTACAAGTCAGGTTTGACTTGAAGTAGGCTACTTTTTCAGAATGGGAAGTGAACATATTTCTGTATCAAAATGATTGTGTAGAGATATTGAAATTCAGAGGTTTTGACAAGTTTGATACCTCTTTGATATATTCCTTTCCTTTGTGGAAGTAACTATCTTGCGTACCATTATAAAGATGGCAGATGTTATAACAAAGTGATCATCCTTAATATATATACTACTGTACTAAACCTCTTGTTGTCATGTCCCTTAATTGGGTGAGATGGTGCAGCATGGCAATAATTTTTTGAATCAAGGTACCTCAAATGGGCTTCCTTATAGAATGTGTTTAAAATCTGGGACATGACTCCTGACAGAACGAAATTTGAGGAAGTTGTGGCTGCTTCAGTGTTACTGGCCACTGCTGCACTGCGCTTATGGTTACATGATCTTTATTTACAATATAATAATAATAATAATAATAATAATAATAATAATAATAATAATAATAATAATAATAATAATAATACCACCAAATGAAGAACAGAATAGAGGCATAGGAAGACAAAGCACTACATGGCCAATACATTAAAAAAAAATAGCTGGGAAAGCAGATAATAACAAGACCTGGCAATGGCTAAGAGCTGGAAAATTGAAGAAAGAGACCGAGGGACTAATTCTGGCTGCACAAGACCAAGCCTTAAGGACAAATGCATATAAAGTCAAAATTGAGAAGACAGCAAGAGACAGTAAGTGCCGCCTATGCAAAGAAGCTGAAGAAACAGTGGACCACTTGGTAAGCTGTTGCAAGAAGATTGCACAGACTGATTACAAGCAGCGGCATGACAAAGTAGCAACAATGGTGCATTGGAAGATCTGCAAAAAATATCATTTGCCTGTAAGCAAAAACTGGTGGGATCATAAAATAGAGAAAGTCATAGAAAATGATAAAATTAAACTGCTCTGGGACTTCAGAATTCAAACAGACAAGCACCTGCAACATAACACCCCAGACTTAACAATTGTCGATAAGAAAGACAAAAAAGTCTGGATAGTGGATGTGGCAGTGCCTGGAGACAGCAGAATAGATGAGAAAGAACGAGAAGATAACAAAATACAAAGACCTATAAATAGAAATAGAAAGACTGTGGCAAAAGCAAGCAAGGGTAGTACCAATAGTAATAGGCTCCTTGGGTGCAATCCCAAAACAACTGGAGCACCAGTTGAACACCATTGGCATTGACAAATTCGCTATTAGTCAATTGCAAAAAGCGGCCTTACTAGGAACTGCTTCCATCCTGCAACGATATCTGTAATACCATCAAACATCCACATCTGCCTATCCCAGGTCCTGAGTAAGGACTCGATAGGTAGACAAAATGCCAAATCCAGTCTGAACATCTGGCTGACTGTGCAATGATCAATAATAATAATAATAATAATAATAATAATAATAATAATAATAATGATGATGATGATGATGATGATGATGATGATGATGATGATGTTGGAAGGGACCTTGGAAGCATCAAGTCCAACCACCCCTGCTCAGGCAGGAAACCCTATACCATTTCGGACAAATGGCTGTCCAGTCTCTTCTTAAAAACTTCCAGTGTTGGAGCATTCACTGCTTCTGGAGGCAGGTTGTTCCACTGGTTAATTGGTTGTCAGGAAGTTTCTCCTTAGTTCTAGGTTGCTTCTCTCCTTGATTAGTTTCCACCCGTTGCTTCTTGTCCTGCCTTCAGGCGCTTTGGAGAATAGCTTGACTCCCTCTTCTTTGTGGCAGCCCCTGAGATATTGGATATATATCCTTCTTTCATTAAACTAGACATACCCAATTCCAGCAACCGTTCCTTATATGTTTTAGCCTCCAGTCCCCTAATCATCTTTGTTGCTCTTCTCTGTACTCTTTCTAGAGTCTCAACAT